GAATGGATCTTTATGGAATGGTATATTTGATAAGCGTGGAAAATTGTTCTTCTCTTAAATCAACAGATACACGGATGACGTTAAAAGCAGCAACACGTTGATGAGAATAGTTACGATAACAAGATTTCCGACCTTAAACGACGAACGAGCCGCAATTCTCGAGGAACTGCAACAAAAGCGCGACGACCTGTTTCATTCTCACCTCCTTACCTAATCTTACCTTCTAAAGTTTCTTTACGATCTCATGCTGTGCTTCCAGATAACATCTATTCTGTGTTATTTTCGAGACGAATGGTTATTTCGCTATGACATTTGATACGTGAAAATTACAATTTATTTTTTCTATATGTATTGTACATAGTGAAAGGGTTAAGAATCTGCACCAATGATAATCGCAATTTTTTGCACAACCTTTGTCGACTTTTTTATAGGCCAGTACACAATGTCCCGCCACTTTTCATCGATTTTTCCGTAAGCACACTAGAGCGGATAATGTGGCCGCGATGTTTCGATAAATTACTGTTTCGATAAGTCACTGCTGTGCTTTCATTAAGTGGAAATTACGAACACTTTTTGTAGAACCAACCTTGCAAGAATTACCGAAGAAACTCTTTTATCGAGGTGCAGTAAGAAGCTTGTTTCCTTCCGCTTCTTTATTTTATTTTGTTTTCGGAAGATTAACCTGGCTAATCGAAAGATTAACTTGATTTCAATTACAAGTCAAGGATGAAAAGATTGAATTGGTAATCGTTTGGAAAATTGTAATTAAAATTTGAATCTTAGAGTTACCTATTAGTTGTTTTGTACGAAGTAGTACTAGTAAATTTTTATTTGAAAATATTTCAAAACAATTTTTTGTTTGGAAAAGTATGGTGGGATGCCGACAAAGGTACAAACAGGAAGTCGCTCATCGAGAAAAAGTTACCCCTTTCAGCGATAATGGTCTAATGTTTTACAAAAGGAACGTTCCTCTTTCATGGAAACTGGCAGTCGGTTAAAGGCTGAAACCACGAGAAAAAGACGGAACGTTTGAAGGAACATTTTGAAAAGAAAAACTCTCATTTTCTGGAGAAAACGACAAAGTTTCCATCACGGCCGAAATCGGACTTTCCTTTGAAAACGCTTCGAAAGAGATGACTGCAGAGGAAGGAAGGAGGAGCACTCGACAAAGAGTGAGTTTCCTTTGCTCCCGAATCGAAGTTATTTCGAAAGCCAACCACGCGAAGCAACATCGATTCTAAATCTCCAGATTAAAAAAGTTGTAATCCAATGTTTGATAGTATCGCGCCGCAGAGAACAACTTTTGCGTTTATTGCGAAAATTCTTCGAACCTTCTTAAGGCTTAAGAATAATTCTATTAATTTCTACTTCGTCCCTTTTCTTCTTTGCCTTTGACTTGAAAAACTGACTTTATTTTTGGGTACTGTATTTCAAGAACAAACTTATAATTAGTTAAAAAGTACCTTTTAGTTTCAGTAAAAGGGAAAGTCCGAAGGATATCGTTAGCTTGTTGTAGAATCAGAACTTTTTCAAGTATCGTTGACCCAAAGAACACTTGTAGAATTCTAATCTGAGATTTCTTAATGAATTTAAATGAGAGTAACATTTTCACTTTGTTATTTATAATTAAATTAGAACACAGTAGAACACCCGTAAGAATGAACATTTTGCCAGAAAATGTTTAAACATTTGCAGCATAAATTGCTCAACATCTAAAATATTTCATAATCCATTACCAGGCAGAAGACAGAGATTTTATTGCAACCCCTTGCTTAATGGTGGATGCTTTTAGCTGCGTTAATGAACGCTCGAGAAGCAGCGCCATTTATCGAATATTCATTTAAACGGCAAAGAACGTTCTAGCATAAAAATATTCTATGAAAAGAGATAATTGTTTCTAACATCGTTCAGATTTTCATAAAAAAAAAAAAAAACTGGAAAACGTATCGGTACCACGAGATCAAAAATATCTCACGTTAGCAAATTTACCGTAACTCGATGTGAAAGAAAATGGAATTTCGCGTTATGCCACCGTTTTCAAATAGAATTTCCACCAACGGACAAACACGCAGGAATCTCCCCTTTGTCACAATGGTATACACACATCCACGTTGCTTTTCAGTGGCGATGCCAATATTCAACGAAACGTCATCAGCACACCTTTCCATCTGACCCTCTCAATCATCCCGTTTCACGTGGAAGTCGTTTGTGCCGACACGTATTCGCCAACTCGGCACACAAACCCCTGCACTACCATTTCGAATCCCACTTGGTTACATCCTACAATCCTATTTGATGTTACACGACTCGCTAACGATTAGATGGTCATTGTTAGAACGCTAGGGTTGGATAACATTCGAACCTGGAACACTAAAGTCGGGTTAATCGTGACCAAACCTGTGAAATCTGTCTAATGATATTTCAAGTAAAGTTACATGGATCCATTTTCAACCGAAAGGGTTTCGTACGATTAGAAAATGTTTTTCGTTTATTATATTCGATATCAGTATAAATGCCAGGAGAATGCAAAATCATAGCCTTTGTTATTAATAGTCAGCCTTTGTCTTTCTAACGATCGCACCGGCTGCTATTAAGGAAGCCATAATTTAATTCATGTTTGCAATTAGTTGCCGGTGTAACCTAGCGCGTTTTACAACAACGCTCGCGTTTCGCTCGTTAGCAATGGTCATAATTCAACACAGGGATAATATATTGAAAACGTTTGCTTCGCATCTCCGTTAATTACGCTTCGACTTGGCGTCGTCTAGTTTTACTTTCCGAAGTCAGCGAGCAATTTCGGACGTGAGATTAATAACCATCTGCCTCTTTCGACAAATACGAGACTAGCCGCTTGTTCATCGTACTCGTTAGGGTTAATTAATAGCCTTACCGGTTGCCAGCTACCACTGCTGTTCGTACACGTACGCCTTCCCATTCAGAAACTTCCGCAGCAAGTAACCACGTGGTTGCTCGTTCGGCTCTCATCGATCATACTTCTCTATTATCATTTCTGATGTGATGAGCTGTGATTGAACGAGGTTTGTTCGTCGATTGAGATTGCGATGAAAGAAGTAACTGACACTTTGAAAAATAGTCCATCCATAGCATGTTTGTAAAAGAATGCCAAGATTTTACAGTTATGCAGATCTATTAATTTCCGCTTGTTGAAATTCATTTCTCGAATACGTGTATGACTCGCTGAAATTTTTATAGAAACCCTGCTAATTATTATGAGTTCCTAATATCGCGATGCAAAGATCAGGAAGAAAAGAAAATTCAGCCTTCTCGTCTCTGCTACTGGCGAATTCTCTGCTGGCCTATCCTCAGCCATGGTGGCGATCGATTAATCGAGCCCTGAGCTTTCACATCAGACAGAGAGGAGTGTATCCGGTGAACGAAGTCGAACTTTCGTCTCGTTTCGAGGTCGAACAGGGGGACTGAAATGGTTTCGAGGGATTTCGAAATCCGTAACGGCCATTTCGTCCTTGCGGATCATCGGATCCGTGAAAACTTTCTCTCCTACCCTCTCTGTATACCCGGTCGACTTTTCCTGCCAAAATATTCGGCGATTTTACGAAATCCCTCGAACTTTGCCGGATTTATACTTGACCCGGTCGAACATAGCCGTTGCTTGAATTTTAAGTGCAGCAAGATTAACAGGGTCGCGTTCCAGCTTGCAAATTACAGGCGAAATTACTGCTGATGAAGTCTCGAGCCTTTCTACCTTCGTTTGTCATTCATTTTCGAGATAGCTTTTCGTCCAATCTATTCACAAATACGCGGAAACTGAGGTACTTTCGCCATATTAACTTTATCACCACGAATATTGGTCCATCTAAAATTTGGATACCAGTGAATATGATACGTACGTAGTCAGATGCTTCTAATTGCGACGACAATTTGGAGGTTCGTTAGAGCAAACGTCAAGGATGTGGTTTAAAATGGTGTCAAGTTTGGAAGCATTTGCGCCTTATTCCACTGGATGATGTCGCGTTAATAGCGAAGTTGAACTACTACTTTATTCGCGGTGGCATTAAAGGGACTTTTAAATAGAAGGGGAAAATAATCCATCAATCAAGTGTCAATAATTTATCAAAGATAATCTTCTTTCGTGCCTTGTGATTCATTCCTTCGGATATCAGTCCGGAAATTCGACTCAGCTCAGAGCGGAAATTTAGCCAATTCTGTGCTCGAAATTCAGTTAAATACTCCTTAATTGAATCCTCTCTTCGAAGGAAATATTTTGAGGGACTGTTTTAACCGAATTCCGATATTCGACTCCATTTTGATCAAATATCTCTTCATTTGACTTCTCCAAATTTTGTGATTAAAATGATCAATTACTAATTTAACTGCGTTAACAAGTTACACACGATAAACAGAACTAATTACTGAACTTCACTCGTTTAATTAATATCTACATCTTATCTTGCATGGAGTAGTATTGTTATTTCAATTACATCCCGTGGAACCTGAACCACGATTAGTCTGGAATAACGATCCAGTTCGGGTTGCGAGAAAGGGAGAAGGGAGTGTGCCCCACAGGGGCGTAGACTAATTTTACCGTTCCTGATTGAGGGCAGACCACTGCCATTTCCTGTCGGTAAAGGAGGCCACGATAGATTCCTCCTTTCCCTGTCCAATGAACTTTAGATTGACCTATTGGTCAAAATTCCCCTGATCTACTTGTCACCTCCTTTGATTGATCGATGTCAGAGTACGACGATAAATAAAATAGAAGTGACACGGTTTATAGACCTGTTGCTGATATGAGAAGATCGAAAGTATAGCAAAGCATTTTAAAATAACTTTTTCTGCAATACTTTACTTGGCATAAAGTAAGTTTGTGTTTCAGTGGTGTGATATTACATAGAGATATACGAGAAGTAGGTTTTGTCTGACCTATACCGACTTACTTTACTTAAGTTACGTGTTTTGTTTTCTTTTTTCTTTTTTTTTTTTTTCAAAAAATGACTGTTCTTACATGTACTTGTTCATTTCATATTCGTTTTATAAACTTTTGCTATAATTACAAACTTTCATGCGCTAGAACAAAAGAAATTAGAATATAAAATATGGATGTTCTGAGTAGTTGTACTATTAACCAGGTGTGCGTGATCAAAGTTTGAGGGCCATTCATTATTTACAATCTTTTGTTAATTCGAGGCTGAAAGTGGAACGTCGCGCGTCGTAAGGAATGAGAAAGAAAAATTTCTTTGTTTTTATGTCATAAGCATTTACAACTTAAAATGTAACACTTCAAACGAAGAAAATCACCCCAAGGTAATCCCTGAATGGTAGCACAATTTGCAGTGGTACCATCTTGCCCATTAAATCGTTCTTCCTTTAACGATCGTAACTAACTTCGGACGAAACAGGATTCCCCCTCCCGTGTCTCCGATCCCCTCGAAGAAAATCCTTGATTCTCATCCCGCAGGGGGATGTCAACCCTCGAGTCACTCTTTCCACCCCTGCAAGTGTCACCCGTCGATCCATTGATCCAGCCCATTTGCATCCTTACGACCCTATTATCAGATGGTCGCCAACTTGAAATCCGGTAGTAAGCAATGGAAAAGGAATAGAAAAAGTCTCTTTTTTCCACAGCGAGGGATAAAAGCATATTACTAGACTTAATTAGAATTCCTGACGTTTTCATTTAATCATTCAATCTGGTATTTTAACTTATCTGGCAAGCATCAGTAGTATTACTGTTCTGTAATTATTTAATTAAATTAAATTCGTGTCGTCGGTCACCAGTGACCACTCAGGTAATTAACGTTTTAACGCGTTGATTACTGTGCTGGTCAACAGTAAGCAATTTCATTTGAACAAGCAATGATAAAACGAGGGAAGGGAAATAAATATTAAATATCATGAAAATTATATTAATAATTTATGGATTGATTAATTAAAGTTTTAACATAACATTTTGCTGGTATAATGTTGTAATTGTGGAAACTACACGCATTTGCCCTTGTTAGCGAGTTAGAAGAAGGGCGTTTTAGCGTGTCAGAAGAAAAGTTCTTAGACTTTCGGACGACAAATTACAATTTTTATTCGTGAAAGTGGTCGTGGAATGGAGAAACGGACGAGGAACTGGGACAAGGGTGTGCTGTTTTTCTATTGAAACCTGTTTGCTCCGATTTATCTGGATGAAAGCAGAGCTCAACGACGAACGATGTATGTAACAGCAGGCTGAAGCATCGTTCTCGTTTGTTGGCAAACTCGTACTCAAAGATCGCGTAAACTCGAGGAGCCAACAAATGAAAATCAGGAGTAAACATGCTCCAATTATTACTTTGTTTCGGAATATGTTCTCTTGATAGAGTAAACAACACCGATATTTAAGAGAATCTTAAAGGAGCACGTTGAAACAAATTTTGTTATAATCTGAGGTGATTGTGAACATGAATCATTAAATTGCAACAACAAATAAACAGATAAACGAAATTGTTGCTCAAACTACCTATGAGGTTGAATGAATAATTGAATATTGTAGGTGGAATACAGTTTACTCTTCGCTTTAATGAACAAATTCACTTCCTGCAATATTAAAATACATTTCATAACTATTATGTGATATAATTATCCATTTGCGAGCGTTACATACATTGTTATTTTCATGAACACAAATGAAACGGTGTTCGAGGCATAGAACGCTGAAATTGATTATTAACAAAACGAGTAATAAAATATTCGGTAATTAATTATTCCTTCTAGAGAAGATGGTGTGATATTATAACCTTAAAATTGATATGATTAATTAATTACCATTAGCGAAAGTTTGAATTACTTTTAAATTGTGAACGCTTATTAAATACGTACTTCACTGGTTATTCAATGATTTAACGTGAAATTTCTGTCGGAATTAGTGTATGTTTCCAAAAGGAATTAATTTTAGCATCGTTGCTAAATATTAAATTTCAGCACCGCTGGTTGTGCAAAAAAAAATACCGCTGAAATTTCATCCATTTCTGGCCACTTGGTAGAGCTTCCATTTAAAATTCGACAAAAAAGAAACATTGAGCAGATTCGACGATGCAAGGGTTAAATGGATTCTCGCAAAGGGATGAGTGATATTTCGTAAATGGTTCGTTGAACGACGGATTCCACTCTTCTGTCACCTCTTTCAACCCTCAACTTCCGGGAAACGGATAGTTGAGACGTTGAATGAAGATGGCAAGGGGAAAGAACTGTGATATATGCTACGAACGAGGGCTTCGAGAAACGAGGATGAAAATATAAAGGTAGACAGAGAGATATTAATTGCAGATGGTGGACTATCCAAAAAATAATGTACGATATAAAAGAGACGAACGAGATGAAAGAAAGTTAAAATAAGGTATAAATTTCACGGAGCCTATAAAAAAAGGTATCGTAAAGGGAGGAACATAAAAAAAGCGAGGAAACAAAATTGAAATAAGAGCAGCGATATCGTAAAATTGAAACTTGATTGTTGGATTTCACCTTTCGATTGAACAGCATGGATATAATGTAAAATTCTGAAAAAAAAATGGAATTAAGCGGTAACTGCTAATCGATCGGTCGAATGAAAAGCAAAAAAGAGAAGTAGTAAGGGGGAGGAGGATGGGCATGAAAGGGTCGGAAGAAGATAAAGCACGAGACTCGTGAAAAAAGACAAACTGTTGAAGACAGACGAGGAAATACCGTGCAAAAGGGAAGCAGAAGTATTTATGTGGCAAAAAGGAGAATATGAAAGAGATATTCGCTTACAGTTTTGGAGGGCTGCCGAATATTGATCCTCTGCGCGAATTAAACTCGGACATCAAATTCTGCAAAAAGGAGAACGCTTGATATGTTCCTCGTAATTGCTACTTTTTATCAATCATATATATTGCAATCTTAAGTGATTAAATGAACGTCAAATTATCCGAAAATCATGAATTCTTACGTTCGGGGCATAAAATGAAACAAACATATATGTAAAGTAATTTTATCTGAATCGTATTGATATCAGAATCAATATTTATTTAAAACCGACGTCAAAATGGAATTTCTGAATTTAAACTGCGATAATAACAGCGTTGATAAAATCGAGCTTCCAACGAACGAGAGAAAAAACATTCGCATGTTTTCGAACGAACAGAACGATAAATATTCGAAGCGATTCGTCAAGCAATGATAACGTTTCGTTATCAAATCATCCCGAATAAAAATGGAAAAGACCGAAAAATCGATACATTGTTTTTGCGGCCAAAATGCTGTGGGATTGTTCAGAAAATAAATGAACAAAAAGAAAGAAGAAAGAACGACAATGAGTTTTTCCACGATAAACCGCAAAGCTGATAAACGTTGTACGCGTGTTTACGCTTAAATTGGGACACGTGTCGTTTCAAAACGCGTTCATCCACGGGTGTTTTGCCTTTCCCGCAAAATCGTTTGTCATAATTATCGTCTTTGTCGCGGCAGAACACGCACCGGCGCTAGCGTAAAAGCTAACGCCTCCACGTCATAATTAACCTAATTACGCTGTGCTACGTACACGCGTATTATTCCAAGATACCAACGTTGTTTCAATCTCTGTATTCTCGATCCGATGAGCCGCGACAGTTGCTCTGATTAATTAAAACGAAGCAGTTAGAGCAACATTTCAAAACAAGCGAACTCTCAGATTACGTTGCATATCACTTTTTTACTCGAGGATAAAGAGTTTTAATAAATGAAGGTTATAACTCTTTGCTCTGGACGTTGGAGGTTAAATAACTATAAGTGAAATTAAAAAAGAAATAAATTTCGAAAGCATTTTATCTAGCTTTCAGAGGATAATGGAAAAGTTAAACTTGCTAAAAGCTCTTTATATTAAAATATAGAAGTACGTCATGAAAGATTAAAATTTATAAAGTTTACACTTCTATAATAAGTTAATACTTCAAACTAGCAGCAAGATATATTTTGTATAAGAATTGATGACGTTCAACGAAGATTGGAAGCGTTTCACTCAACGTCTGACCATACGCGCGGTTATACTACTTACTGCGTCTGGCGCCGGTCCATGCTGTCTTCATACTGGATTATTCCAATCGTTCTTCTTCAAATTATTTACGAGCAGTGTTAAAAATTCATGTAATAAAATACAAAGCAGTCTTCGGTTGATAGATGGCCCCATAAGCAAGGATGCAATTTTAACCAGCTTGTGTAACGTCTCACCGTGCATCTTGTGACAAGAGAGATGCAGATTGTTACATAAATGTCCAAGCAATCTGTCAGCGGGCGCATACGTCATAAAGAACGATGCATGATCAGCAAAGAAGAAAACTCGAACACGTGTCCCGGTGTTTGCGAGCAAGCTGTCTTGCAAGCCGAGGGCGTGGTTGAAACCTGTACGCTTTGTGGATCTTCGTGTGTGACGTACAAGCTCTGTGAACCATGTCGACCAAACAGATGGACGAGTCTCGGTTAGCTGTCCATGATGAACAGCCGTGAATCAGACGATTCTCTCTCTCTCTCAAAAGCTTTTTATGGCTTAATTCTCTCGGCGAATCTGGAACGTCGTTGCTTTGAATTGCCTCGGAGAAAAAGGGTCGATTATTTTGGAAAGCTTTTACTTCTAAGAAGTGGACTATAGGGTAACAAAAATCTAACGCAAATCCAGCATTTGGAAGGAAATTTTTATTACTCTGTGCAGTATTTGAAATTGGAAAATTGAAATATTTAAAATAATGTCCTAGCTTGAATCGCAGTGACTTTTTATCGTCGTAATCGCTGTATCTACAAAGTATCAGTGTATTTCTATTCAAATAACCCTCGTTTTTGTGAGAAAAAAGAAAAAATATACAGTCGACTTGTTTCTCTTTCAACTCACAAGGATAAAGAACAGCGAGGACCCGTGCACAATGTCTGAAAAGAAAGAAACTGCAAGGAATAAAAAGCAAGTTGGTCGTCGTTAAATCTAGCACAACTTCCGTCATTAATAACTCTCCATTGAACGGACAGGGAAACTGTAAAAAAGGATCTAGCGAGCCGAACGAAAAGTTCGTGTCCACAAACGAGGGAGCTTGAATAGAAAATGGAGTGTATGGTACATATAGTTCCTCGATACTGTGTAAATGAAAACAGCTGACGTTCTTAATAATGTCACGTAGTTATTAAACTTTTCTATAAGTAATACATTTGAAATTATTCGAAATTACTTAAGAAAGATACGATTAAACGCTTATAAATACAGACTCAAAGAGGTCTTTTAAAAAGAAACTGAAATGATGAAGAATCTAGAGACCAATTAAAGCAAAACGAGTCGGAACGTTTGGTCAATGAAAGCTACAGATTGAAAATGAATTCGACCGGATAAGCAACGATTTCGTGGGGAGTAATCGAATCGATCCAGCAATTAATGCCTTCTATTTGAGGACTCTTTAGAACGTTTGCTTTTAAAGAAATCGAGCGAACCGCTAGAAACGGCCTGGTGCAGACTGTTTTCTTATTTAGTTCCTCTTATTTACGTCTGACGACGGATAACCGATAATGAGAGGCTGTCTCGACGTCTAACGAGAATCTGTCCATAAGAGAAAAAAAGAAAAAGGACGAGGGTGAAGGGGATATTGGAAACCTGGAAGAAAGGACGAGTTGGCTGGAGAAGGGATTCATTCGATACTCTTAGAAATTACGGAGATAACTTGCCTTTTTTCATATAGAAACATTGCACGAAGTATGATTAACTATTTCTTGATAATAAACCCAAAGGACAGGAAAGAAGTTTAATTTAATATAAACATTCTAAAAATTTGGAGAATCAAAGATGGAATTTATACAATAATTATAATTTCACTGAAATGTAAAAAGGTACAGGTACAATTTTCACAAGCATCGTTCCGGAAGTAAGAAGATTAAAAAGGGTTAGTTATTGTCGCGATGGCTAACCAAACTGCGAATACTTAACGAACCCTGAACTCACTCTGTTTTCCTTTGCAATTTCACAGAAAACTCGAAGCTGGCTTATAATTTCCCCTACGTTACGAAGCATATTTGCGAATACAACGTGACTCGCTTATAATTAACATAGATGCTGTGGTCAGGATTAATTAAATTTCTGGTGCATGCGCAGCAATTATACGAATTTCGTCGGTCCTATTCTGCCCAGCTTTTATTAATTTCAATTTCACCAGAACACGTGTACGAGGCCAGTTAAGATGCACTCGTTTAACACGATGCAGATTGCTCTGTTTTTGCCGTTATCAGATTATCGCAAGAAATTGGCCGTTTTGAACTGGTATTCTTTCATGGAAAGGAGAAGCCGAAGAAAATTCTGCTTGGATAATTACCTGGCAATCGAATAAAAGGTTTTATGAACGCAATATTATTTCATGGAACAAGAAACAAAGGGGGATGTGGTTAATGGATAATAATCGCCTAGTAATTAAATGAAATTCAGAAGAAATTAAAGAAGAATTAACTTCCACATCAAAATTTATTACCAAAGATACCAAGGAAAAATATTTTAATTCAACACAACAAATTCTATATTGGAAAGAGTTAAAAAAAGAAGAAGATATCTTGAGATACGGGTCTAACACGATACGATAGCCTGTCCAGTGCACAGCTTGAGGTCGTTTAAATTGGACACCTAACTCTTTCTCGCCACTTTATTATTTTCCCAACAGGGGTTTTCTTCTTTCTTCGTTATTCCTGGTCGCATTGTCGCGGGGGATGAAGAGGTACGAGAAGTATTACGTGGTCATCCTGAAAAAGCCATCGCGTTGCTCCATGAAAACAGAAGTTATCGTTGTAGCTGAACGCGGTGATGTCGTTTTGAGGCGCGAAAAACATAATTCCGGACGAGAGTCGTCGCGTGTACTTCCGGGATTTGTCGAGGCCGTACGTGGTGCTTACAAGCGAAATCCAATTTCATCTCCCTCGAAGTTGATACGCTTCTTGGACGTTAAACGCGAACGAAGCCGGTCAGATTCGATTATTGCAAGCTGCTATCGAACTCTTGCATGTTTCATGCAACGAGCAACACTGAATTTCCTATTATCGTTGAAGTTATTACAGGAAACACGTTCTGAGCCATGAAATAATTATCAGAAAATGTTCGTAGCACTTAGCTACGTATCGTTTTCAAGAGAATTCGCTCCATAAAATTGTTACGCGCTTCGACGCCCAATCACAGAATTATTGCACAGGGAAACAAATGCTCACGGTAATCGGTTGTGCGCAAATTTCATTTCGCAAATCAGTAAGCATCGATGAGCAACGTATTCGCGGTTAAATTTCATACCATGGGCTACACGGTCCGATTAATACCGACACAGTGTCGCCGCAGTAAACCGACACCAATTAAACGTTCACGGAATGTCAAAAAACGTTGATCATACCAGATCCGTTCGCGCGATTAACGCCGAGTACAATCGACACTTTGAGTTCCGAATTGACTAACAAATTTCACAGTGATTATAGAAATTTTTAACGCTACAATAGACGGATTGAATTATAATTTTTATGGAGGAATTGCGTTACTTAGGAGAGGAAAGGTAACAGTTTATTTTACTGAAGGATATATTACATTGAAAATATGTTAACCACTATTCTGGAAATAAATTTCGACATTGATCTCTACATACTTCTTCCTTGAAAGAGAGCGGTCTAGTCCCTTCGAGGAATAACGGAAATGGGATTAGCTCCTCTGGTCCCTCTTCTTCCTCGTATCCTATTTCCTGCGTAACCTTCCACCTTCGACCTCCTGAGGGAAAGGTAAAAAGGATACGGAAGAAGATTTCCTCGGTGATCAGCGTAACTAGATTGCATATCTTCCTTAGAAGTCTCATAAACGGAAGACGACGAGTTCCTCGATTAGCGTAGATAAGGAAGTGGATTGTTTCTGACATTAACAGGATTGTTATCGTTGAACAGAACGTTATTTGACGATATTATCTTGCATCTTTTGTAACATTCCGCCAAGAAACCTATTCATTGTATCACGGAAACTCGAAGATATTTTTTATTCCAAGATACATTTTTCTCTTTTATTCAATAAAAGAAACGTATATACATTTATTTCGTAGCAATACCTCTTGAAGTATGAAAAGAGATTCAAAGGAAAATATTAATGCAAATGGAAACAAGATGATATTGAATGTCTATTCCATGCACCAAGAAGAAACTTATTCTACAAACGAAGATGTTATATTGAAATATAAAGAAAAGTAATATTCAAGCGACTTTTAACATGGCAGATAAAATGGCAGATAATTATTTTACTAAAATCCATTAGTCGAACAATATACCGATCGAAACTCGTTTCGGATTAAACGAGGATAAAAGTGAAGATGGAATGAAACATGGAAAATATAAATTCAGTTGGAGAAAGCTCAATGTGTTGCGGTAGTTGTAGTGAAATTGAAAATTAAAATTTATGATTCGGTTAAGCGGCTTGAGCACGACACTGCCTCCGCCGGAGAGAAACTAACTAAGAAACTTTTGAAACAATGGTGACTGGCTAGCTGGTATAAATAATTATACGGCTAACCTATTTTCTTTCGCATCCTTCACTTCCGTACCGACGCCAGTCCATAAATTCTCTCCGCAGCTTCCCGGAACTACTTATTTTCCTTTGTAAATACCGAACACGAGAAATTTTGGGTACAAAATAGACTATTATCGTTCACTGTAACACTTTTTTGGGCCCATCTGTGTATCTGCCAACAATCTTTTCGTCTTTGACAGAGAAAATTATCTTCCAGTACTGGCAATATTCTCTTAACGAGGATAAAATCAAATGGCAATTGGTCGTGTCAAAGGATTGATTATTTCAGATTTAACTAGTTTCCTGATCCAAAGCTTACCGTCTTCCGACTTCGAATCTCGATGAACTTCGACAGCCAAAGTTTCTCGAACTGAAGTCAAAACGCAAGACAGGCTGGAAGCAAGTTTCCATCCGTTCAGATTAACCGAAGTCACGGTGAAACTCGTCAACAGACGAGCCTTATGCTTCGATGAAAGCAACGGCTGCAGTTTCAAACAAAATAGTCGTTATATTATTGATTAATTCGAAGGATATAGTAATTGTTTGGAAATCCCATCCATTCAAATTGAAACGTGTCAGAAAATATTCTTTCCTTTCCTTTGACGAGCTTACCTCGTTAATTTCAGTCACACGCTCGCATTCTTTCGTCGAAGCGATTATACTCGCGCAGTTATCCACTTTATTAATCAAAGAATTACGAATTCGTTAGAAACTTCCGCGGCCTCGCGAATTAATTGAACCCTGTCCAAAGATCCTTCAGCCCGAAGGAGCACGGATAACGAATTTCATTTTCATTTTTCCCCGGCCGGAACTTTCCTCCTTGGAATCCGTCCGAGCTATCGGAAAATTCCTCCTCCCGGAAAACTAGGTCGCGACGCGTTAAAAGGCTTCATCAGCGTATAATCGAGCGAATTGGATAATTAGAATTAACTCGAGAATTTCTTATAAACGTGTCAACAGTTTGCGTTTTTCGTTTAATTTTAATTAACACATCGAGTACCGTAATGAAAACGTACTCTTCAAAAATAACCTTTCCAATAACCATCTCATAAATTCACCACGAATTCTGATTCGACATCGTTTTCAACGCTTTTTTCCCGTTCAGCCGGTGTTCCGGTATCCTGGAACGTCCACGGAACGAAGTTCGGTGATCGATGAAATTGCATTTAGGTAGAGAACGCCGGTCGTAATTACATCGAGGAATGCTATCGATTTGTACTATGGTGTACCCGTAATCACGGCCTCGTTGAAGTATTATACATACACGATCATAAAGAGGGTGTTGTCCGACGTTCTCTTTCGAACTCTACAGATCGCAATGCATTTTCTGTTTACACGGGCTGTAGTTTACATAATATTTGCAGCATTCACTCAGGAAACGATCAATTGGCAGACATTTGCATTGGAAAAGCGGACGCGCATTATACGCTCGTATCAATATTAATTTAACATGCAAATATTATTTTAATCGAAGAATACCTACGATTCCGAGGAACGAAGGAGAGATTGTCAGGCAAAGTTTACATTTGAACAAGAAAAACGAGCAGGGCTGTGTGGACGATGAAAGTATACTTGGCGGAATGCGAATTGCCCCGATGTCCCACATTTAAACAAATGTTTATCTTAAAATTAATATCATTCATGGAAACAAACGGATCACGGTTTATATACGATAAATTACGCGCTGACTATGATAGATTGTGAGAGAAATTAAATAATCAAAGCGGTGAATTATGGAAAATAATTTTAAGTTAGTCGTGAATCAGCTCATTTAAGTCAAATCTTTCCATCTCTAAATCTAAGGACGAAAATATACGTCAACCTCAACTTGCGGATACAATTCTATCGAAAATCCATCTAAACATAAAATGACCTGTCTGTATCTGTAGGGAAATTGAAGCGACTATTCGGACTGAACAGTAAAACTATTAAATCTCTTGGTAATCCCGTACAAGGTCTCAACAAATTCAGCCATGAAGCGCCTTATAATCGCATTTTCCGCCAGGAACTCACGCTTTACGATGTCCCCATAGTATATTTCATCAAACCTGCGATGTCGCGTTAATCTCGTGGTGAAAGGCGCTTCCGTACCATCCTGGCGCTACGACACGTAATTTTATGGCCTCCATAAAAAGACTTACATTCGCGAAAGGAAGGAAACGAATGGAAAAACGAGGAGGACAGAACGATTCGTGTATCAACGGTGAAAAAGCAAAGTAAATAGTTCGGCGTACCGTACCGGGACACATGTACGCCCATTTCCGGGTCAACCTGGTTGTTTTGATCCCCTTTCTTCCGGGGATGCCCGTGTTACACCCGAGCGCGTGAATCAAAATCGTGTCAGCGGGTAGATCAATACGAACTCTACGATCGAAACTGTTCGAACAAGAGCAGATGATTTGAATTTGCACGAGTTTACACAATGAATTCCATCAAGTACTCCACGATCGATTCCATGGATCCTACGAAATTCGATTATTCCCTCGGGCGCGCTGTTTGCGATTAACAGGGTTCCTGTTAACGAACCACTTCGAAACAGCTCTCCGATAAATTTCTTGCAAACCACACTTGCAGCTAGTAGGTGTTAGAACACCTACTACGCTTCTTTTTGATTTTTACTATCACTTCTGGATAAGGAAAATTCAAATTTAATTTATATTTTTCACACGATTCGTTTGACACTGCTTCAGCTCTGGTAAATTGATATTTATTTCAACATTGAATTTTTGAATTGAATTCAGCATTGAATTTTTTTACATTTTATACCTATTATTCAAAAGTTCTCTTAGCACTACTGATTTCATTGGAAAATAAATGAGAAATCGAAGAAGGTAAATGGAATAGAAGAGAAGTGTATCAGTATCAATCTGATGTTGATTCCAAGTAAGCCAATGTCTCGTGGATCTTTCTGACGAAGTTTTCCTTCTGTAATAAGAAATGTATTTTCTATAGAATAAGTCTAGCACCATGAAAACTGTGCCAACGGTGACTGGGTACGAGCAAGGCTCGTACTAAGCCACGCGATCCGTTTGCTCCTATTTTCCAGATTGCGGCAGCGGCATGAACACACGAGACTGGTTACCAAGTGCCACATTCGCGGAGTGTCGCGCGATCCCGAACGATCCATCAAAATCGCGACAGACAACTGTTAAACTTTGTGTATGCAGCTGTAGTGAGTAGAAGAGAAACAGGAAACGAACAGAATTCAACGAACAAAAGACACAGTGACAATACATTGTAACATATAAAAAAAAAAAGAAAAAAGAAAAGTGAATAGACAAAAGTGTGTTGTTGTTCGATTGACGTGTGACAAGTGAACGGGAAGAAAAATAAGAAGAAAAGGGGGGGAAAAGTAGGATAGAAATGGAGATCATCAGCGTGCAGAGTATATCAAAGTATCGTTCGATCGCGTCTAAGGCCAACGCGAGATACATTAAAACGCCATTCATGTTCCTTCTCGGGCCAGAGGCAAGATCGTAATTTCGTTTTCTTTCGGAACGAACAATACGCACGATGAACCGTCTCAGGGATCATCGAGAGCTTCAATCGGGTCGGATCGGATCGTAGAAGGTTAGAGGATTCAGGAAGGTAGAGGAACAGCGTTGTCGAAAGGCAAACTTCATGAAAATGGACTCGACGAAGCTGGGTGGGCCAGCCCCAACCAGCCCAAGGGCTGACTCACCAGCCTTACCGACCTACGCGACCACCGCGGACGGCAACATAGATTATATAATCGGGGACTACATGGAAAGACTCGGCACGAGACTGAATATACTGGAGACCGAGTTAAAGTACGCGTGGAGAGCGTTAGACCTCCTCAGTCAGGAATACATTAAAATGTGGGAGAGACTCGAGAAACTGGAGGGTCTTCTTTACGAGCAACAGACGGTGATCAGTCAATTGATCGAGTTCTACACGAGCGGTGGCACTCACGAGAACGCGAACGTTGCAGAGGAATCGATGGCGAGTCAACAGAGTTCGGTGAGCGAGTTGGACGCGATCGCGAAGAGCATCGGCGCAACGATGGGCATCGAGGAAACGGCCGCGTTGAGGGAAAAGTTGGCCCAACAGGAAATGGCGAGAATGCACGGACTGACGCAGGACAGCACGACCGCTGCTGCAGTAGTTACCGATATGCACAGGAACGTTAGGAACTTGGACACTCTGGAGACTCTTGCCGAAGAGAGTAACATTCCAGACGAGGCGTTCTACAGGAGCTTGAACAACGCTTACAGGGAGGACCTGATCTGCGGCGACACGTCGAGACCGACCTCGCAACTGGGAATGATCTGGGAGGAGGCGGAGGATGAGGATGTTAACGGGAAGAAAGAGATCGATACGACCATGTTCGAGAAAACGGCGACGAAGGATACTGAACTGGAGGAATTGGCTGGTAAACCGACGAAGGAGGAAATTCAGGAGTCGGTGACGAAGAAGGAGGACGAAGCTGACGAGGACGAGGGCGAAGTGTTCAGCGCGGCTGATTACAAAAGTTACCGAGGGAACACGCCTTGCGTCAGCGAACAGGATCTTGCCCAACTGTCCAGGCTCAGTTCCATCGATCAGGTCGCTCTGGAGAAGTTACACGAACTGGACAGGTTGACCAATAAGTTACAAAAAGACTCTCAGAACTTGATAGAGTTACAGTCGAGACTAATGGACTCTCCGAAGAGGCAATACAACTCGGAAGCTGAAGCGAAATTAGCGGAAGAGGCGAGTAGCATAGACGAGCAACTGAGAAAGATCTATGCAGAAACTGACGTCGACAGTTGGACCTTCTCGAAGAGTCCTGGATCAACAGGTAGATCGATCTCCAGAGTCAGCACGGACAGTGGTTTGGCCACCGACGGTGATTTCACGACCAGGTCAATTTCCCCAAGACTGACATCTACGTCTAGAACGAACTTGGACTCCATATCGAGTACCTACACTCCTCCTAGACTAGGTTACGCCGCGACCGTGCGCGAAAAGAGTCCAGATCCAATGATTCAGTTGCCCATTGACGTTGGTAGTTTCGCGAAAGGTTACGCGGAGAACAAGGAACTGACAGACTTGATGGTCGAAAGCTTTGCAGCCGTTACTTGCGCCTCGCCCACCATTTACAGCACCACTACCGACAAAGTACCGTCTCCTACCCTCTCAGCGGGAAGTGTCCACAGTGTACACAGCGTCCACAGTGTACAAAGTCTTCGAACGAGGCAGGACGGCTACTTCGGCAGCGCTCCGCGACTCAATCTAGAGTTTCAAGAAAGCAGAACGCCTCCAAGTCCGTCACCCAGTTCACCCCCTCCTCCAGCTCCTCAAGATTCGGGGGAGACTTTCCTGATGCCAGGAACTGATCAAAGAGAACCCGACACGAAACGATCTCAGAGCCCCACGTTCCTGAGAAGCACGGAGAAACTGGTCTCTCTGGAACAAGGTCGTCTCAGCCCACGTACTCCGCATTCGCCTAAATCGCCAAGAGTGTCGCCTAAGCACACCGCCAAACCGGGCAGTGTCGCCAACATAGTCGCGGCGAAATCAGATTCCGGCCTATCGTCCATGAGCGGATGGAGCAGCTTAGACAAGTCGCCAAGTTCTCCTAAGAGTTCGATCAGCAAGATGCTTACATCCTACGCGGTGGAACATGCCCGAGCGAGTTTAATATCGACCACAACTACGGGTAGGTCTAGCAGCCCTATACCGCCTCTTCCGGAGACCACTACCTCCGTGGTCACGCAGGAACCCCTGTACGACACGCCCGAAGGAAGAGACGCTTTTGCAGCTACCGCGGCCACCAGTCATTCTTACGCAGCGGCCATGAACCATTTGTCAGCGTTCACGTCCATGAAGACACCGACTACCAAAGATGACTATAACTTCGTGCCACCGCCTGCGCCCGCCGCCACCACCTGTCAAAGTCCGAAAAAACGAAGTCGTCAGCAGACGTTGCAACAACATACTTACGACACAGTCGCACCTGGCAGCACGATGGATTACGTGTACAGATCGGAACAGCCTGCGATCTATTCAGTGGCTGGTAGCAATCGACAACAAGCGATCACCAGTGTCTACACCAGCGGGTCGGGAACCTATGGTCCGAAGACCACGACCACGGCCTACTATCCGGATTCGATGGATCAGTACAGCTATCAGGAAAATTTCAGCTCCGCTCAGTACACGGAATCAAGCGGGATGGCTCATGCGAAGAAAGTTTTAAGAAGCGCCGCGTACGCGGATGGAATGACCAATCACGAAGGGTACAAAGCCGCAATGTATCGCACAATGTTCCCCACTGGAAACATCACCGATGCTTTATCTTATTATCCGACCAGCGCGAATTTACCGCGAACGGAAACGAACGAGAGTTCCTGGTTAAACTCGATGGAGGATCAGATACCTCACGACTCAACTTCATCTAGCATCAGGTCGTTAACTTCCGACGGCAGTTACTCGCAAAGTCCTTACACTGATAGGAGGTACCCTCAACCGCCAGCTTACCAGGCCCATCAATATCATCACACGTATGCTAATCAAGGCTATCCGCAAGCTTATCAGCAACAATATCAGCCGTACAATCAAAGACTGAGCGGCTCCGAAAGCGCACAACTCGCTGATGGCTACCAGAGGCAATGGCAAAGGGAGCATCAGTATATTCAGGATCACGAGGGCGGAAGATTACCTATCGATCAGGCGCAGCATCAGCAAAGCGAATACTACGACGCTTCGAGCGTCATAGTGTCCCAATCAGGCTACATCAGCATTGCGACAAATTTGAAGGATCACGAGATGGAGAACGCGAAGACTGGCAAGAAAATTAGAAGGGGTTCGTCGTTGAAAAACGCGATGAGCTCTATGAGCAACTGGTGGCCAGATCTTCACCTCAGCAAGAGACACAGAAGTCACTCGTTGCCTGGTGGAGTGAGGAGAGAAGACCTGGACATGTCTCAGGAGCCTCAACAGAAACTTCCAGCGGACGCAGGCGTGACCAGAGGTCGTGGTAGAGGGCAAACCGCCAGGAAGAAGAAGAAACACATCCTCGTCTCTACTGTATCCGGAATTCTGCAGAAGGCGAAAAGGCGAACCCATCAGTCGCAATCTTTGTCCGATCCCGAACAATCTGAAACCGAATGGAGCAGCGGCAGACAGAGCGGCTTGTCGGAAGACGAGGACAGCGTGATGTCCGACGCGAATCAGGAGCCTCCTTTCTTCGCCAAGGTGAAAACTGCGAGCACAAAGCGTAAACCGGTGTCGCAACCGGTTGTCCAACAGCAACAGCCAACCACGCAACCATTGCCCTTGCAGCAGAAAGAGTACATTCAGCAACAGCAACAACAGCAGAATTTACAGCAGCAACAGCAAGTTCTTCAGCAACAAATTCAACAGCATCAAGAACAGTTGCAACAGCAGGCACTCCAAGATGGTTGGGGCAAAGAAAAGGATCAGAGAAAGGAATTGGATCACGATGGGTCCGATCAAATGGGTGGTTTCGACGAAGAGACGTCAGGAAAGAGCACTGGCTCCGGTTCAGGTGGTTCCTCGATATTCCAAACTGTCGGGGATATTAAACGATCCACGGGTAGTTCCGACGAGGCACCGAACGAGAAGGCACCGAAACTTCCGCCAGTGACATTGATGGGCGCCAGTATGGAATTCGCTGTGTCCAGGGCACTGGGCAAGTATCGTCAAAGACAGTCGTCCACAGTGTCCGACGAACAACCGCCGAGCGAGGAAGCGAGTAGCGAGAAGAAGTCTGAAGATGGAACCGTCCAGACCCTAGAAACTAGCTTCGAGTATCCCGAGGACGTGTCGGAGAAGAGCGAGAAGAGTGAAAAATCTAGCAGCACGAGACTACCCGAATTAGTAACCAGCATATCAGAAGAGGGTCCACCCTCTGAAGGAAGCCCGTCCGCGTCGAGCACGAGGGGTCAAACGACCGGCACTCGATTCCTACCACGGCATCAGCAATCTCTCGAAATTCCTTGGACAGGCTCGAGGCCCGGCGAGCTGGACGAGGACAACCGTAGCACGCATTCCTATCGAAGCACGTCGAGGGTCTCCTCCAGGCGGCAAAGTACCGAGGACTCGATTGATTCCGAGGACGAATGGTACCGATACGAGCTGAGAAAGCTAGAGGAACTCGAGAGACAGTCGCAAATAGAGGTCGAGATGGGGGAAGTGCTGGTGGAGGAACCCGAGGAAACCGAGCACTATCAGCCAGACGATACAGTGAAGGAGAAGATGTCGTTCGTGTTGAAGGAACTGAAGCTGAAGGCCAAGCCACGGGAACAGATCAAAGAAGAGAAAGAAGAAGTGCGAGGCAGCAAAATCAATGGAACACTCTCGAAGGATCGGCGAATAGAGGAGAGGGACAGGTACCGCGACGAGAAGCCTATCCCAAAGCGAAAATCCGCGGAGAGTATCGAAGCGGTGTTCGCGAGGGTTACCGATTACCATACTTGGGCACACGAAGAAGAAGCCAAGAAAGAAAAACCGTCCTCCGCCATGGAGGAAGGTTCCTCCGGTGAGACGTCAGGTCCTGACAGTCCAGTTCAATCTATGGACGAGGAAGAAGAAGAGGAGCTACCGAAGGATGTCGACGAAGAGCAATCGAGACGCAGCTCCAGTGGATCGACGTTTCGTCAAGGGGAGAAGATCCACCCTGGTTCTGAGCCAATTTCTCGCGAAGGTAGCGTGAGCGTCCCACCCAGCGAGGTGTCCGTCAGCATCCCAGGTGCTTGGGACTCGGAGAGCACTGTACTTGAAGGACTCGAACGGGACGGGGCAGGCAGTGCTGAAACAGCTACCACGGCCACCTTGAGCCTGCCGAAAATCAAAATCGATTCCTCCTCCTGCGGTAGCTCGGACACGACGCTGAAGGATGGCCAGGTGAGTCCTGGACCACCTGGTTCTAAATGGAAGCTGTTGAAAGCGTTGAAAGAGCGTAAGGCAGAGGAGAAGATGAAGGAAGTTGAGGAGGCCTCTAAGGAACCTACTATTTCTCAGGGACCCACGGCAGTGAGTATCATGATAAAGTGAGGACACGAAAACCTTTGTAAGGCGTACTCGAGATTCGGTGGTTGGGTGAAATCGTAAGCTTTAATCATCCAGGTATTGAATTCATTTTAAATGAACCTTCAATTACATTCATTTCTATACACTCCATTTACGAAGCTCGTCAGCTACAGTGGGTATATACAATATATCTGTAATCGCAATTTGTTCTCGCCAATGAGTATCGAGTACGTCGTAAATCGAGGAAACATACGAATTTAAGCACGATTACCGCGGCTAGCGTATAAGTCATGCGAATCCAGTCAATACTAATGCTACGATACGATAGAAGGGTGAAAGTGAAGCTTTGTCGGTAAGGGGCGCGATTACGTTCTCTCATGTTCGTTTCGCATCGATTCACATAAGAAGGTTGCGAAAAAAAAAGGAACACGACGTTGCGTTACAACAGATCACGAACACGAAACACGTGTAACGATATGGTACTAGTCAATTCAACAAGTGCAACGTCACTGACGCTTGGCCAAGCAATATTGTACTTCGCAGGGTTGAGGGGTCGTTGATCGACGATTCGATCGATTTCGAGAACAGTAGTAATATATTCAGCGACTACGGACGCTGGTGAACGAGGCTACACCTAATTAATAGACCGTAGGTATAATTAGATGGTGCTTCAATTAATCGATACGCTTTTAAGGTAGTATTATATTAGGTAGACGCGTGCCTGCGCGGTCTGACTAAGGTATTCGCTGAACGTGGCGAAGTATTATTTGGTCAATTAACGTATCTTAAACAGGAAACGAGAGTCTTTCATGGATCTCCACGATGAAATTTCGAAACGCTCCAATTTATCTTCTCTCGTGGATCTCCTGTCCGCCGAGCGACGAACGCACGTGCAATTTGTGTGCACAAACGAGTGTATGGTACTTATCACTTAAAACTTGTAGAGGAATCATCATTCTATATGCTTCTACACGATATCTAATGCGATTATTACTACGAGTACAAGTCGTACCATCGGTTCAATCTATCGATGCACCCGAACAACTAGCTTAGTATTAGTTAAACCATCGAACATAGGGTTAAGGAATTTACATGATACACTGCGACATGTCTCCCGTTACGCACTCAAGATTGTAAGGTAGCTGGGAATCTCGAATCTCGCACGTAAGCTGTCTTCTTCCGAATTCAATCGAATCCGTACAAGGTTCAGTATATTCGATGAGCCGTAGATACAACAAGGGATGAAAATCGGAAGAAAAGGGGGGAAACAAATCGCGCAGGCACAGCTCGTTCATTCTACACATCGAAATCGCTTCCGAGAACGCGAGCAAGGAACGAATGGGGAGAAAATAAGAATAGGTTCAGCTACCACTGATATTTCCTGCTCACGATATGTCGCAGAGAACGCGATTGTTTGGACGAGACACGATCGTGCTTATCGATCGTTCGAACACGGTAAACACTATAATTTCAACGTGGTCGAAATCGGACGTGGTATCAATTTCAATTTTGATTAAAATTATTGGGGTAATTAGAATTTAGGAGGTTTCAAGTGCACCGTTATATCGGAAGCTGATTCGTTCTACATAAAGAGAAAATGAATGTTTTCATTTTAACAAAAATTTCAATAGCTTCAGGTAATTATCGAAACGAGGAAAAGGGGGAATCATCGTTGATTGTCTTTGTAATCTATTGTTTCTACTCCATTCTACTCCCATGTAAATGAAAAAAGCTTTTGTCTCGCGACACAATCAAACGTGTTTCTCAATGGAACACAGGTTGTGATAATCGAGCGTGAAATAATCGTAGCAATTCGCGACGCGTTTAGAAAATTCCTCGGAAACGGAAAGATTTACAGGTTTTGTTTCACTGTTCGTTCTCTGCGATCGTAGGGGAACGTATTCCATTTCTTCAAGCGTGAAAATCGACGAGATTTCACGCGGATAATATATTCTTCCTTTCATTCGTTTTCTTCCGTTTCATTTTTCCGCGTGAAACGAAAGAACAAAATTATTCTGTGTTCAATTTATTTAATTACAAATTAAGTAATTTCAAATACGAATTGATTCCAATGGAATACATCGTAATATCGATTATTTCCTTCATCTGTCTTCGATTTTTTATAAAATCTTTTACGAGGCGTCTGATGGAAGCTTCAAAATTAAAGAAGCTAACGATTGTTGTACTAGTATTCGTAACTAGTGTACACTATATACGCTGATAGTATAATAGCATTTAATTACGATTGATAGCCAAGTAACGTGACCCGTGGTCATACTCCTAAAGCCTTGTAACTTTACGATCTTCCTCGAGAAATTGATTCGTTGATACCTTAAACAAGACCTTACGTAACGAACAATGCTACTCGCAATCTCACAAATTGTTAAGAAGAGCAAGAGAGGGTTTTTGCAAGTCTAAATCCAAATCTGATGGAATTTAACAGACTTCAGGATATATGACCACGATAAGAAATCGTCAGGAAGGATTACAAAAAGGTAGTTCGCGTGTTAAGGTTTTCTTCGTACCAGTCGTCAGACGACGAGCCCAAACGATGGTGGGATCTCGAAACGATCGATCGCGTTCCCTCTACCGATAATTCGACGGTAACACGATTCCGCGATAGATTCGTAATCGAACGGACAGGTTACACACAATCAAACACCACACAACACTCGAGTGCAATGTAGGTTTCTCTTGATTAAAGGTAAGTAAGAAGAATTGAAAAATTATCAAAAATATGGCAAAAGATTGTTAATTCAAATGGTACTTATTTCGACAAAGAATCGTTAAGAGCTGCTAATTTAGTTGCCAATTAAGTCGAGTGCTGAGTAGACTCGTTCTACGCTTCCTTTTAATTAAGAGAAGTCAAAATTGCACGCTACCGTACATGAATACAAACAAAATAATAGCTGTACTAACAGACACACTGGTACTGGTACACACGTCCAAAATATATGCTTCCGTATCTAAAGACTTCGCAAGCCGTATAATATTCTAATTAAGCTAGCAATTAATGATCGTGCGTACTTCGATGTTAGCATTAGGGAAGCCGAGCTTGTACCTGCTCGCAATCCGGATTACGGTTTCATAGTACGACAAGATCGTGGAACGGTGATTCGGGTCTGACTAGGAACGGCGCGTTTCACTTAATTGGTCGGTTTGACCCCGAGCACCTATCACTTAGCGATGGACCAGTGATTTCAATCGTGTTAGAGTGAACCCGATAACATGATCCCTATAAATCATCTGATTACAATCCTTTTCGTCTTATGGTACGCAAGAAGAAGTCTTAATGACCTCTTTCAACCATGATACTCGAGGAACAAAATTTCAATCGATTCATTAACAATAGAGTAATTTAAGGTGATCAGGTTAAATGATTCACTTTCTATAATATATGAAAAAAAAAAAAAATCTGAAGTTGAAAATTGTTGAAAATTTCAAAGGTTTTGAAAGCATTGAAAATTTTGATCAAGAATGGTTGAAAGCGTACTGAAAATTAATTGTTCGTGTCCTTATTAATTAGAGATTCGGTAGAAAAACACGGAAACAATTCAAAGTTCCATCTTCGTCGATCGAGTTGCTTGAAAATTTGCAAGAGGTAGAATTGAATGGCCATCGTTATCGATCAAGCTCGGTATCAGGACCGATCGATTCTTCTGGCAATTGGCGAATCGTGCTGAGCGGTTTTGTCGCTTGGATCGCTTGCCATCGGTGATGTCAATAGCAGCAGAAAGTCGGGAGAATTGTCGTGACGATGCTTTCGAAGGAGCACTCGAGAGGAACGGTTCTGTTTCCTAGATTCCTAATCAAGCTTAGGTCTCTCACTGAGCATTTGGTTTTGAACTACATTCGACGATCCCCCCATTAGTAACGAATAAGTTCAATTGCAAATGCAACGATTAATCGGTATTATGTACTAATCAAAATTCTCCGTGAAAGGGTATCCTTTTATCACCGATGAAATCGACCTGAAAGCCGTCGAGCGATAAGCGTATTACGTTGCTCATAATCTGAGAAGAGCATTCGTTCGCGCAACGTCGTAAAATCGAAGGTTTCCAATGGACGTTAAAAGCTTTAATCCCGGCATCCTCTCGCGAAGTAAGGCGAAAGCTGGTGACGATTTCGCTTATTGCAAGTAGGTACGAGAAATAAAAAGCTCGTGATTATACGTCGTAACGATCGCTCGTTATCTTGAAATCCGTTTTACGAACAACAGGTCCGTTTCAAAATATCCGTCGTTCCTCCGAATTGCATTCGAATACACGCTCAGATTCTGTGCACTCGACACTTATCGCTTGTAATAAACGCTTTCCGAAGGAAAAAAAGATTTCTTGGACGAATTCAGTCGAAAAATGACGAAGGAACGTTTTTGCTGCTGCTTGGGGTTAGTCGTCGCGTGTTCAAAACTAATTTATCTTTACGACTCCCCTGTAAAGTGTAATTAAAACTGCTGTTTCAGTAAAGCAATTTATTTATTTTGCTGAATAAACTTGTTGAAGCACGATACAAGTTGGTTCAACGATACTCTTTGAGAGTAGGTAATGGCTTTTAACACTTTTGAGCAAACGGTCCTTTAAAAATGTTTGAGCATACTAGGAAAGAAACTTACAAACGTTCCCTCGAAATTCAATTAAAAGGTCTCCCTCATTCGGTAGACCATTGCTTTCCGATAAACGTTTGAAAGCAAGTATTTTCAAGCAACGTAAATCGAACTTAAATGTTCAATGTCTCCTGAGTGTCGATGAAACAATTTCCAAAGTATCAACCATCGGAGAAGTGGTAGAGAGTAGCTAGGAGCAAAATCGAGTATTCAGAACTGGAAGCAAAGTAAAAACGTACTCGATTGAAGCTGTCGCTAGTAATTCTAGCGGAACGAGGAAAGTTCAGTCACGGTTCTCGAACAAGCCTCCTCGATATCCACGAGCAGGACGTGCGTTTCGACTCGACTGTGACTCGTAAATCAATCGTTTCTTCGTTGAATTATTCCCTAGGGAACGTGC